AGAGTTCATCGGAACTTTCGAGCTGCTCATGGGCTGTGACCTTCCAGGAATCTCATGCACAAGCAAGGTTCTCCTGGGTCACTGGCCACGACACCACTGCCCCCCGCAACAGCCCTCTCCTTGGAGGGCAAAAGGGTTCGGTGGCTGAGGCACAAGTGGACATGGCCTCCTGCAGCCTGATGGGCCTTCCCGGGAGCTCCACCTTCCACCTTCCACTCACCACGAGTAGTGGCAGCTGTCTTTTCTGATTCTACAGGTGGCCGTTAGCCTCCTTCTCACATTTACTAATTCTTGTGAATTGGGGTGAGCCGCACTCTTGCCTGCCTGCCCCAGAGGTCTCAGTGTGGCAAACCACACAGCTCTCACAGCATTTAACTTCAACAAGGTTGAAGTTCATTACAAAATGTCCATTTGACGACTCCGTTTTCTTTGTTTTGTCTTGTTTTTGTTTTGTTTTGTTTTTTCCCCCCAAGGTTTCTCTGTGTAGCCCTGGCTGTCCTGGAACTCATTCTGTAGACCAGGCTGGCCTCAAACTCACAGAGATCCTCCTGCCTCTGCTTCCCGAGTGCTGGGATGAAGGTGTGCACCACCACTGCCTGGCCCATTTGACCACTCTTGAATGAGTACTTCCAGTATCCACCGTCATCTCCAGGACTTTTTCACTTTGTAACGCTGGAAGTCCTCCTTCAGCAACACCACCTGTGGTAGTTTGAATGTGATTGGCCCCCATAATCTCATAGGGAGTGGCACTGTTAGGAGGTGTGACTTTGTTGGATGGGTATGGCCTTGTTGGAGGAAGTGTGTCACTTGGGGGTGGGCCTTGAGGTTTCCTATGCTCAGGATACCGCCCATTATCTCAGTCAACTTCCTGTTACCTCTAAGATATAGGACTCTCTGCTACTACTCCAGCACCACATCTGCCTGTATACTGCCATGCTCCCCGCCATGATGATAACGGACTGAACCTCTGAAACTGTGAGCTACCACCTCAGTTCAATGTTTTCTTTGTAAGAGTTGCGATGTGGCCGGGTGGTGGTGGTGCATGTCTTTAATCCCAGCAATCGGGAGGCAGAGCCAGGCAGCTCTCTGTGAGTTCGAGGCCAGCCTGGCCTACAAAGTGAGATCCAGGACAGGCACCAAAACTACACAGAGAAACCCTGACTAGAAACAAACAAACAAAAAGAGTTGCTGTGGTCATGATGATGTCTCTTCACAGCAATAGAACTCCTAACTAAGTTACCACCCTACCCAGTTGTGGCCACCATGATTCAACCTCCTGTGTCTACAAAGGCAACCAATCTAGGGACCTCAGCATCAGTATCATCAGATGCTCTTTGGCCCGTGTGCCTTGCTCACGTTGTTCATTACAGTGTCCTCTGGTTTCACCAGCTACAGCAGGTGTCTGAACACTTCTTCCTTATGACTGGATACTGCTCCACCATAAGATGAATGCATGCTGCTTATCTGTTGTCTGTAGACAGACACGTGTCCTCCACAGATGGACTCATGGGCCACTTCTCCACTGGGGCCTCTGTCTTTGTCAGGGTTTCTCTTGCTGTGATGAAACACCATGACCAAATGCAAGCTGGGGAAGAAAGGGTTTATCTGGCTCACACTTTCACGTCGTAGTCTGTCATCAAAGGAAGTCAGGACAGGAACTCAAGCAAGACAAGATCCTGGAGGCAGGAGCGGATGTAGAGGCCACAGAGGGGTGCTGTTTACTGGCTTGTTTCTTTTGACTTGCTCAGCCTGCTTCCTTGTAGAACCCAGGACCACCAGCCCAGGAATGGTACCACCCACAATGGGTTGCCCCATTACAGCTGGGTCTCATGGAGGTATTTTCTCAATTGAGGTTCCCTCCTTTCAGATGACTCTAGCTTGTGTCAAGTTGACATAAAACCAGCCAGGACAGCCTCTTAACAGGAGTGCAGGATTGATGGTTTTTTACTCTCTTGGTATAGTCTTGTCAAACAGTTCTTCTTCTTCTTCTTCTTCTTCTCCTCCTCCTCCTCCTCCTCCTCCTCCTCCTCCTCCTCTTTTTAACATAGGTGTTTTGCTTTCAAGTATGTCTACGTACCATGTGCATTCCTGATACCCAGAGGCCAGAAGAGGACATTGGATCTCCTAGAACTGAAGTGACAGCTCTTCTGGAACTGGAATTCAGAAGGCTGTCAGCCGCCATGTGGATGCTGGGAATCGAACCCAGGTCCTCTGCGACAGCAGCCAGTGCTAGTAACCGCTGAGCCATCACTCCAGCCCCAACAGTCATTACTTTCGATGATACTAAAGTTGCCCCACATTTGACAAGCTGCCTCTGTGCTGATGACCTTATGGTCTGTCTCCTTAGGTTCGTCATCATGCTCATTTGTTTCCAGACCCCTGGCTGTCTGTTGGGTGTGCTGTGAGTTAGCGGGGCACCTGATCCCACAGCAGAGATGGGAGTCCACAGGGTACAATCTCAGCCCCTCTGCCTTGTTCTTGGTATCATCTGTGCCCCCAAGAACAGTTCTGTTCTTGCTTTTCCCACCTTTGGGCCTTACTGATGCCAAGGGGCGAAGGTTAATGGAGTTTTCTGTGGAATTGGCCCTCTCATTCGCCAGAGGGCAGCAAGAGGTCCCCTGTCTCAGCAAGGGAAGTGTTGAAGGGACCCACCCAAAACAGAAGAGGGAGGGGAAGGAAAGGGGCTTTTGAGACACAAGGGCTTGCCAATTCTCAGCGCCCTGGTCCCTTTGAGATGGGCACATTCCAAGCAAGAATCACAAGTCACTGTGCTTTCGACAACATTCCACTGTGTCCCAGCTGGGCCCAGGCTGCCCTATCCCTTATCAGTGTTGCCCTGGTAGCTTCCGAGACCTTCAGAAACCAACCCCAGGTCTTTATCTCATGATCAAAGGCAGCTTCTTGAGTCCTGGCCTTGAGAGCTGTGTTCCAAGTGTTAGGAGAGGAGGGAGCCGAGGGCAGTAAGGCCTCTCCCCTCTGGGCTGGCCGGAATCTCTCAGCAGCTCTTCTGCGGCCTCCTCAGCAGAGTGGTTAAGGGGATCAATGGATAGGGGCCAGAGGAAGCATCCAAGGGCATGGAGTCACTGCCTGTGTCCAACCACACTCTCCCAGGGCCGCAGGGGTCAAGGGGCTCCAAGGCAGGCTGGAGAGCCCGGGGCACTCAGAAGGACTTAGGGCAGCTGGGGCTGGGTGCAGGAACCTGCCTTGAGGCATCTTAGAAGCAGTGTTCCCACCAGCTACCCTCCTCAGTGTGGGAATCTGGAACATTCCATCTCTACCTCTGGAAATAACCCAGGAAGATTCGAGGTTGGCCCAGTCAGGGTCCAGAACCTACCCCGACACCTGCCAAGCCAGGGCTGCAATGAGCAACCCTAGAGACTAGAGCACAACTGAGTCCTTAGCTGGGACAAGAAGGACATTCCTCAGCCTAGGCTCCAGCCCTGCCTGGCACCTGCTCTTCCTCCCCCTACACTCCCATCGCACTTGAACTCACCACTGGTCACCTCAGCTGAGGAAAGCCCGTGTCCATGCCTCTCCTGGGCCCTACTCTTGACTTTCTCCTTTTCTCCGCTTTGTGATGGAGTCAGCCTGTCCCTGAGAACTGGGAGTACCAGTCAGTTGTGTCCCAGGGACCACAGCTTTGGAGCTCAGCTTCCATGTGTTAGATGCAAGCCCTTGGAGGGCTGGAGGCAACAGGGAGGGTCTGGGAAACCTAAGTCTCCTTCAGGACCAGAGCCCTGGCTCTGTGGTCCCCTCATCTGGGTCCAATCCACTTTCCCGCACATCTCTTTTCTGTCCCTAATTCCATCTCTTGGCCACTCCTGGCCATCCTTGATGCTCTCTGATATGAGTATCAGCAGGGATGCTCCTACAAACAGTCTTTGGGCACTCTGTGCCACCCCAGCCTGAGACCCAAAGCTGTTTGGAGCTAGTGGTGTCTTGTAGGACCAGCTCCCTGGACTCAGGGAGGAGTGAGGCAGAGCACTTTTCAACCAGGTGGCAGGAGAGGCCTAATCAGTGACCACCTACTGTAGCTAGAGTTTTCCTGCCTGGCCCACAGTCAGGACAAATCTCTGTCAACCACCAGTCCCACAGCTGCTCAGACCCAACCAAGTAAACACAGAGACTTATATTGGTTACAAACTGTATGGCCGCGGCAGGCTTCTTGCTAACTGTTCTTATAGTTTAAATTAATCCATTTCCATAAATCTATACCTTGCCACGTGGCTTGTGGCTTACCGGCATCCTCACATGCTGTTTGTCATGGCGGCGGCTGGCAGTGACTCCTTCTGCCTTCCTGTTCTTTCTTTTCTCCTCTCTGTTAGTCCCACCTATACTTCCTGTCTAGCCACTGGCCAATCAGTGTTTTATTTATTGACCAATCAGAGTAATTTGACATACAGACCATTCCACAGCAACCTACCATGTGCCGGGCCAAGCAAGACACATGTTCTTTCCTCCCCCAGGAAAGACCACTGCCCTTTCCACCAAAGCCCATCTCTGGTCTCTATGATCTAGGCCAACAGCCCATCAGTGGACACCCTCAGCCCCCAGATCCATTCTGAGCAGCTTCCAGGAACTGTGCCTATTTACCCTAAAGTTCCCCTGAGGCAGGAAGAACCCGAACACAAAGGCCACCCCCAGACATTGGGACTGCCTGCTCCAAGGGTCTTTCCCATGACTCAGCTTGGAGCCTGTACTGAAATGCAGAAGTACACTCTAGAGTACATGCCCACTCCTGTTTACCCAATCCCAGGCCACCTGGAGATAAGCACACAGAGAAAGCAGCCTTCAGCATCCTCTGCTGGAGCAATCTGGCCATGCTCCAGACCTGCAGATTCAGCTTCTGTGTCATCTGGATGTCAGCCATGCCAAAGGCCTGAGGCAGACTGGGATTCAAACACTGGAGGCACGGGCAGCCCGACCTTCTTCAGCCGGTCCCTCTATGCCCTGGGAACTTCCCTCCACCCACCCCCACACCAAAGCCACCCAACCCTCACCTGAGAGCACAGCCGGTGGCCTTCACCCAGCGTGGGGTGACCACCATCGCCTCCACCACCAAGGGAGCATGTAGCATCTCCGGAGATACAAGGGGAGGTGCTGCTGGTGTTGGGTGGAGACCAGTGACACTGCTGAATGCCCTGCACGGGAAGTCCTGCTGAATGTCCACACCAATGACTGTGAAGCCCAACGGCTGTTGGCGGCTGGCACGAAGTTTGGTGCAGGCTCTACAGATGACCCAGGTAAGATGATGAGACCTGGGAGACTCTTGCATCATGCCCTGCCTCCTTACCACACCCAGCCAGGGGAACCCACAAAGCTGGGGGACCTCGGCTGGAATTTAAGGCCAGAACAGCCGTAGGAACGCGCAGAGGGGAAGGCCCAGCAATCTGGGACAGTGTCCCTTCTCTCCCTTTACCACTGAAAGCAGAAGTGACCTGGGTTGGGGAACTCCAAGGCCCAGGGTTGCCCTGCTGTAGTACTGTGGTTTGGCCTCTTCTCTACACCACATACCCATGACACCACCCCAGACATAGAGACATGGTAGTGAGACAGTCCATAAAGAAAAGCAGCCCAGCAGCGCGACCTCTCTGTACTCACCAGAAATAGGTTGTTGGAGCTGTGGCCACCTCAGTTCCCAAAGCTGGGCATCACACAAGGTTGTTGTCTGCTGTCTTGTGGGGTCCCCTCACCTGTAACTAGCAGGGGAGGTCTAGGGCTGAAGTCACCAAGTACCCCAAACACTGCAGCTTCTGGAGCTGATGAGCTCTCTGCCCTGCAAGAAACCCCCCACCCCACCCCAGTCACATGGGCAGACCTCATCCTAAACCTGGAGTCTTACACCATATGCTCATGAAGCAATCCCTACTGCAGGGACTCATGGGCTTCGGGACAGCAAGGGATACACTTTCCACCAAGGAGAAACATTGATCAGGTGAGCCACCTCTACTTCCTGCCCCCTCACCTACAGCTAGCCAGGCTCTGACACTTCCTTCCAGCGTGGTGGGTAAGTCATGCACCCCAAAGTCACACCTTCCTCCCTGACTCCCACTAGAACCCCAGCTGCTTCCACACTTGCTCACGTGATCAAGATGGTGATGGATGAACATGTGAGCATAAACAGACACACACCTGTCACTCACACCCACAGCACACCCACCTGCAGAAGCCTCCCACGTCACCAGGCCAACCGAGAGAGTACTCAGTGCTCGGGACACAACCCTGGGCTGACCTTACTGCCCTGTGACTTCAGACAAGTTGCCTTATTTCCCTGGGCTGGCTCCCTGGGGACAGAGTAAATGGGTGCTCAGCAGGGCAGGCTGTGGGTGCTCCTCCCAGCTACACCACCTCTCCAGGGCTGCCCTCTGGTCAAACCACCATCTTGCCAGAGGGCTGCACTTGGTTCTTAGTCCAGCATGCTGTAAGGTTGCAGATTGCTGTCTGCTAAACCTTCCGCTTACAAAACAGGTCCTTCCAGCCTCCAAATTGGGCCCAGGAATGTTTGAACTATTACTTCAGTCTGTTTGATAGAGAACTGTTGAGGTGTTGTGTTCTTCTGGGAGCCCTGTTTCTCTAGTGCCTGGTCCATTTCATCGGCTTCCTACAATGTGGATATACAGTTGTATACGCTAATATCTTTCTTTGGGATTTCTTTTTGTTTAAAAAAAAACAATTTGGTATTTATTTATTTATTTATTTATTTATTTAGTGTGTGTGTGTGTGTGTGTGTGTGTATGCATGCCACAGAGCTTGTCAGGAGGTCAAAGGACAACTTGCAGGAGTCGGTTCTCTCCTTCCATGATGTGGTGTCCCGAGATTGAACTCACGTCATCAGGTCTGGCAGCAAGTGCCTAATGTACGAAGTCATCTCAACTGGCCAGTTGTTCTGCATTGTTTTATTTGCACAGAGAAAACCCACCCTCCAACACTCACGTCTACAGATTTAACAGTGACAAAGCTGTGTATCCCCTACCACGGTCTTAAGAGTTCCACAGGCCCCAAATGCTTCCACGTGCTCAGTCCTCCCTAGCCCCGGTCGTTTTTTCCCTTCTCTCTGGTTTTGCCTTTGCAGAAGCCTGTTGGTTCTGGCTTTTTGTGTAAGAGAACTGCATTTAAGAGCTGTCCATGGGTGCGAATTCCTAGATCTTCCCCCCACCCTCTAAGCAGTGCTCCATTTTCTGGATGGACTACGGGCCTTTAGCTACAGTTGAAAAGGTAGTTTCTAGCTTGGATCAGTGAACTGCTGTAAGATTTTCAGCACCATCTCTGGGTAGTAAAGGAGTGGCAAACAGCTCCACGCTCTTTCACGGCACTCCTTTTGCGGCATGACTGTCCGGATGGGCTGTGTCTGTTGATTTGGATAGTAATGGCTTAGCCATTCTAACGGGTGGTTTGGCTTGATGATGATGTCTTCCTGTCACTTGTCACCTGTGTACCCTCTGCGGTGCTGGGTTTGTGCAGATCTTGAGCCTATTTTAAAACGGGGTTGTTTGTTTCTTTATTGTTGAATTCTGAGAGTTCTTTACATATTCCCCATAACACTCCTTGATCTGATAAAGGGTTCATCCTCTGTCACCGTGGCTTATATATCTTTTAAATCTTCAATCACAACACTGATCTCTTCTACATCCTATTTCATGGAGGGTGTTTTTTTTTTTAAACCTCTTGATTTTTATCTTTGTTTTTCAACGTTCTTGGGACTTAACCTACTTCTTTGCCCTATATGTGATTTTTTTGTGTGATTTTTAAAAATTGAAGTATAATTTAAACAGTGCACTCCAGCTCTCTCAGGCGTCTGGTGTTGAGCAAATGCACCGAGGCATGCTTCCAGTTGCTAACCCTCCCCCTGCCGCAGCCCTAGTGACCCAGGACAGAGACCACACTTCCAGGTCCTGAGGTACTGTCTTTGCCACACACGGGGTTGGAGCTGTTTCTCAACACCCCAGTCTTTTGTGGCCACAAGTCTGCAGGGTGTGTGTTATATTTGTTCTCCATGCTGTACATTTATTATGACCTCTGCTTTAGCTCATGAGTTATTCAGTAGTGTGCCTGTGTTTTCCAACATGAAGCAATGTTAAAAGGATCATACAGTGTGACCACACGCTCTTGCCACTCACGTTCTACAGCTATCCATTTACGATCCCTGCCCTTCAGTCCTTCTCCACCGGCCCATCTGTCCCTCTGTAATCCCTGCTCACCCCTCTACCCATCCATCTATCCCTCTCTCCACCACCTATCCCTCTACTGTTTCTCCATCTGTTTTTCTACCCATCCTCTATCCATTCATCTGCCCACCCACTCATCCCTCCCTCCTTCTCTCCCTCTCTAACCCACCCCTTCTGTCCTTCCTTCTGTCCTGCCAGCCATCCTTCTCTACATCTACCTATCTTCCATCCATTCATCCCTCCCTTCATCCTTCTATCCATATACTTATTTCTCTTGCTTATTTACCCACCTAAATCTCTCTATATCCATCACTTTCTCTCCATCCACCCATGTACCCCATCAGTCTCTTCTTATTAAATCCCAAGGCAATCCCAGCGTCTCGTACTAAACGAGGCCTCTATTCTCACTCTGCCGTTCCTCTGGCAAACAGAGCTGGGAGAGGCTCAGCTGGGAGAGGCTCAGGAGGGAGCTGGAGACTTCCTGGGGACACAGGCCTGACCACCCTCCAGATCTCCACAGCTGCACGATCTTCTGGGCTCTAGGCCTGGTTTTCCCACACTCTTTGCCCTGAACTACCCACAACAACAGCAGCAGAAGAGGGCCCTGACATGGCTGAGTACATTCACCATGGAGGACTGTGTGTGCTCCCTGAGCAATAGTGGGTTATGTTCAGGGGGTGCTACCAGGCTGAAGAAGATGAGGCAGGTAACTGACAGCACCCACTGGTGGGAGAAGCCCACTTTGAACTTAGGCCACTTTGGCTAATGCCTGCTGCTGAACCTTGGAAACCAGCATGAAAGAGGAAGCAATAGGGATACTGGTTTGCCCTCTCCCCAGTAAACGGCAACTAGCCCGAGGTAGGTTGTGCATGTGTGTGTGTGTGTGGGGGGGTCTGTTTGTTATTTGTTTGAGTGAGGGCCTAGCCATGTAGCCCAGGCTGGCTTTGAACTCAGGATCTTCCTGTTCCTACCTCCCAAGTGCTGGCATTATAGGCATATGCCACCATGCAAGGCTAGGTTAGTTTCTTGATACAGAGACACCAGAGACCTCAACCAGAAAGTCTCTCAGGTCATAGTGACAGAAATTTTCCCAAACTCAAGCTGGCATGTTCTAGGCCCCTGGGACTTGTCAAAGCTCCCAGCTTACATGTCCCATAAGGGTGGGAAGACTGCTAGAAGGGACTGGGCACCCTCTGTTCAAACCTTTTTCTCACTGGCACAGGTGAGAAATTTTCAGTCACTGTGCCCTGGGCTTCCTGTACCATCCCTCCAGGGTCACCTCTTGGTCCTCTCTCCTAACAAGCCTTAGTACCTGAACAAGGAGACACATCCCATCCATAGGAGTGGCCACTGGGTATGGTTGCTTGAGCATGCTCAGTGGGAAGGAATCCTGAAGCATACCAGGCCCTGCTGGGGGATGTAGCCTCTCAAGTGTTCAGCCCCAAGGACCCTCGACTGGCTGAGATATCCACAGTCCCTACTCAGGGAGCTCTGGTCCCATGCCTCTTCCTGGGGCCAACCACAAGCTGGCTCTTCTTTGGTCCAGATCTACCAGCTTCTTCAGATGCCACCATCTCCGGGGGACAAGGAGGATGAGCCACCTGGGAGCACTCACCACCCTGCCTATATTCTCTGTGTTGTCTTAGGAGCTAGAATCCGCCGGGCGGTGGTGGCGCACGCCTTTAATCCCAGCACTCGGGAGGCAGAGGCAGGCGGATCTCTGTGAGTTTGAGGCCAGCCTGGGCTACAGAGTGAGTTCCAGGAAAGGTGCAAAGCTACAGAGAAACCCTGTCTCGAAAAAAGAAAGAAAAGAAAGAAAGAAAGACAAAAGAAAAGAAAAGAAAAGAAGAGCTAGAATCATCCAACTTTAATAACTTACAGGAAAATGCTAATACACACATCAATAATACAGAGGACACACAAGGCTTATAAAAAGGGCTGTCTTTCTACAAATTATGGAGGATCCTTGGCACTTTCACACAGGCACAAAATGAAGATTATGGTGACCGAGTTCCTAGGAGAGCAGCTGAAGAGACCCCATCACTACTACCCCCACCCCCCATGCATGCCACAGTGGGGAAAGGGGAGATACTTCTCATTCATCCTAAATGCATCCTGAGAATAACTTTTTTTTTAAAAGACAGAGTCTCACTATATATAGCCCTAGCTATCCTGGAATTCACAGTGTAGACTAGGCTGGCTTCGAACTCACCGAGATCTACCTGCCTCTACCTCCCTAATCCTGGGACTGAAGTTATGAGCCACCATGCCTGGCTTCTGAGCAACTTTCTATACACCTTCACCAAATCCTGGGGAGGGGGGAGCGGGGAGAATCCAGATAAAACACCAGAGAAGGAACAGGAGGACCCTGGTGGGGGAGAGTGGGCATTTGCATTTACATCTCTGTTCAGTAGCTCCTACTTCCCTGGAGTGAAGGTAACAGCTGTGGGGACACCTCATCTCCCTTTCCCTCCCCCGTGTGACACCAACACAGGAAGCCATACTCTTCAGTTCTTTTAGGGGGACAAGTCCAGCACTTAGGCTGGGAAGTCACAGACGCTGCCTGCTTCTCCACGTGTACGGACCCCTAGTAGGTATGGAGGGTCCCAGGGTCACTCTTGAGGATCATCTCACACAGGTGCTCCAGGTCTGGTAGAAGTTCCAGCCCACCCACAGCCCTGCAGCCCTGTGCATGAGTGAGCATAGCAGCGGCCAGCTCTTGGGTGGATGGCTTTTTCTCTACCAAGTCCTGCTTGTTTGGCATCCACCAACACCAGCACCAGCACCAGCACCAGCACCAGCACCAGCACCAGCACTCCCTGGAAGCTCTGCTGATTCAGAGCAGTCTCATCTCAGCCTCCTCCAGCCACTCAGTCTCTGCCAAGTCCACCACAAACACCACCGTCCATCTGGTGGGTGTAGGAGTCCCTCGGTGGTCTCAGCTTCTCTGGACCCCCAACATCACACACTTGGAAGGTGATTCCAAGAGACCCCGTCAAGGGCACTCTGAATTCAGTCCTGAAGCCTTGGGTGGAAACATTCTGGACGAACTAACTGCTTGAACTTGGGGCAGTGAAGGAGAAAGGTCTTTCCAGTCCAGTCCAGTCTGGTGACACAGCACGCAGAGCCTTCCATTAGCTGCTAGCTGGCTACACAGCCTCACCAGCTCCGGGAAGCTCCTTAGCCACAGAGCACTCTGTGTCCTCATTTGTGACCCCAAGAGGCTGCTACCCGGAAGAGGTGGTGTAGTGCAGAAGGACAGACAGACGTTAAGACTTAATCTGTTTAGATTTCCAACCGTGGTCTGCCGGCCTGCCACCTGGTGGCTGTGACAGTCCTTTCAGCTGCTCGTAGACCAGCGGAGGGCTCCCGCTTGGCTCCAGTCTAGTTTCCCAAGCCGGTGCCGGCCTCGGGAAGGGCAGTAAGGAGCACTTTGGTGCGGGCTGGAAGCGGGCTGTGCTCACCCCCACCCCCATACCTGCTCACCCAGCTTCCAAGGTTTGCTTCTGTCCCCAGCACGTCAGCGATCCCCTATCAACTCTTCTGTAGGATCACAATATCTGAAAGTCCCCACAGCACCGCACCCCCGCCAGACACACGCAGACCTGGATAGCGATTTTTCTTGCAGATAAAAAGGACTCTCCCTGCCTCCGAGGTCCGTGACACT